AAGGATAAAAGCACTGACCTGAAACATCAGCAGGTACAGCAAACCATGGCACAGTCCAAATGTGCGTTCACCTACCACTACAATCCCTGGTGAAGTCTAGGAACACTCCCATGGCGATCAATGAGCGTTGAAAGCTCCCTTCTCTTACCTTTCGTCCATAAGTATCATTTATTTCGTAGTATCGCACTCAGAAACTGATTATATTACTCATTAACTGTAAGGCGAATGAATGAGCAATCGAATATGCTTGACACAGTTTATGCATTGACTTCCCGAATATGATGTCAGCAGGATTTTGAAAAGGCAGAAAATATATTAAAGGTATTACTTTAAGCCTCATTGTTCAATTTTTTTTCTGGATTTGTCACATCGGGGCGCCTATGGTTCAATGGATAGAGGTGCCCTGCAATACAAATGGAAGCATCCCGCTTCCCAGGATGACAAAGTCTTCCTTCCCTCCGAGGTCGACAAATTGCTACCAGACTTGTTAGAAAGGATAGTAGCACTGAATTGATAAATCGGTAGGTCACCAAAAGTCAATATATAGCTCAGATATGCATTCAGTCTCCAGCAACGATTCTTGATTAAGCCGAATCCATGGAGCAACCTTTAAGGACTGATGAACGCCGAAAGCGTCATCCTTTTTTAAATCACCTTAGTGAATAAGTTCACCATTCGGGCTTTGAAATCGTGCTCTCCAATTAAATATTCTTATTGTTCACCAACGCGGTCACGCTTCGCAACCTCTGAAAGACGTTGTCGTAGTGGACGTGACGAACATCTCTATCACAGGTGTCTTTGCTACTACGGCCAGGGTTTTTGACTCAGGAAAGGTTCTTAATAAGCAGAACATAATGTGCTACAGTTAAAAATATGTGAGCAATGCTAATGAGTTCGAAAGAACTGATGGAGTACTGAATGTTTCGTTAAGGTAGTATGAAAATGCTAGCACGTTCCATCTACTTTGTGTCCTGAACGATCAAGTTTATCTGTTAAAATTCATATTGATTTTCCAATGTCCTGCCGACCCTTCTTGCTAAAATGAAGCACTAATTAATGAGATGAGTAACTCAAAATTTGTCCAATACTGATAAGATACAATTGGAATGCCTCAAGAACTTATTATCAGTGGGTTTTACAGTTTGTTTTCTTTCTGTGTTGTCTGTTTTTCGACTAATATTTGAATGTCTACTCATTTAAAAGTACAAAACAAAATTTTGCAGAATGCATGTGCACAGTAGTGCGTAAGAGAAGACGAGTAGAGGGGAAGTAATGCGGAGAAATTGGATAACCTTTGCGTTGAGTAGGGATGTACAGTCAAGGGTTCATGCGTCCATCCAGAATGTAGGACCAGCCAATTAGCTAAGAAAACCTAGCTCAAGCTAAAACTATGTAAAAGACTCCAAGCGACCTAAAGTGAGCCAAGTGGCAGTGTACTCTCCCATTCTTAAAAGGTGGCGAGTGCTAAATACCGTGGACGATATGATGTAAGTCAACATGATACACCACCGAGATGAGTTATTCAAAGACAGTAATAAGGTATTCAAGAAAACTTTAAAGGTGAATTATTAAATCAACCACCATCGAGAATGAGTTCCCTGCAATTATGTTTGCACAGAAAATCGCGCGCATCACATATCTCGATTTCATCTTGGTATACTGTTGTGGATCTGGGCACTAATTGCGTCTAGAGCTTCAATGTCTGAAAAGTTATTTTTAAATTACTTAAATCCCATCTTTTTTTCACGAACATAAGCATTTAATTATCTAGGACTCACGATATGACCATTTTGAATGCATATGTGACCTTTACAATGACTCGCGGTGGCCTACCAATGTATCGAGCCAGTGCTGCTATTCTCCCAGACCAGTCTGGTTGGCCGACCCCGTAGACATTGTGGGCCATGGGCGCGAGGATCGATTCCACGTGTGTGTCGCAGTGGCGCCTCCAACCACTGCGCCTTTGACCACTATGTAAACCTTTAATTTTGGAATTTGCTTTATTTCTACTAATTTATTACTGATGAATGGATTATTGATGGATGAACGGCTTATTTCTTCGCACTACCAGGCACGGTTAGGGGTTGGTTGGCTGGGTCATTGGACCATGATTAAGTTTGTTGTCGAGAATTTTAAAGTATCGTAAGAATGCGATTGAGTGAATTATAGGAACTGGAGAACTCGCCAGTCAAATCTGAACGAGTCATCGAGTGGATTGCAATTTCATTCAGTAATTTGAGATTTGGCGACTTTTTTATGGCACCTCTATAGAAACATAACGTAAAAGCTTTCAAAAAAAAATTTTTATAGATATTCCTTTATATGAAGCACAAATATCTCCAAATGACCGTACAAAAGTGGAACTGAATTCATGGCTTTTTTTTCACCGGACACGGGACAATCACTGCTACCAACAGCCAGGATCCTGTATAATGGAGGTACCGCCGAATGAGTACGGCTCATTCGCGTAAGATGTTCCACTGAGGAAGATCCGGCTCGATGTGCGACGAAGACACCACCTCGAGAACACTAACAACTGTGGAGCATCGACTCTAATGGAGGCGAAGCCGTCGAAACGTCAGCCATAAATAAAAACTATTTACCAACCTCGTGTAAGCTAACAAAATAAGAATACGTATTGAATCCATGGTCTTGCACTATCATGATTTTTAAATCCAAAAGCGGTTTGAAAAGAAGCTGAACAGCTGTGGGCGGAGCAGACAAATGTTTTGTTTTTCTTATGCAATTAATTGTTATGTCAGTTCCCAGGATCGACTTTCTCTTAACCTCGGCATTGGAATATGAATGTGTCGTTTTCTTGTTCAGCAATCGCGAGGTTTTTAAACAGCATACATTTACTTCCATAGAAAGACACAATACAATACAACGCCAGCTGACGTTTCGGCAGTATCGCCTTCTTCAGAGCCTGGAAGGGTATGCTGATATACAATCTACTAGGCCAAACGCTTCAATGACACTTACAAAAAGACGAAAAACTCTTTAGTAATTACATGATCAACAGCTTCTCGAAAAACCCACCGCTTTTTCGTGACTTCCAATGAGGAAGTTTAGAACGGCTGATTATAGTCGCATGTGGTTGACGACTGCACCATCCCACATCAAAAATCGATGCGAACGTACGGGATCAGGTCGCGAATGACCTCCGGGCATTCATCCCTGCTATTCATTGTAGGGCTTTTGGCATTGATCCAAAAAGCCTCAAGGAGTTTTCGCGCTGGTGTTTTGGACTCCTGTGCAAGGATATTGACTTTTACTTCAAAATCGTCTCTGCTATGCTTTTGTATCCTATGCGTGCCTAGTGGGGTGCTTCGTCTTAGTTTTCATTTGCCATCTAGATGTTCTTTTATACGGATACACAAAGGACTGCCCGTTTCGCCAATATATTCATCTCCACAATTATTACAAGAGACCAGGTACATCGTACCTGAACTTATGCAATCACCATCCCTGCCGTAAGGGATATACCTGTATGCTGTTTAAAAACCTCGCGATTGCTGAACAAGAAAACGACACATTCATGTTCTGTCAGTATTAATATAGTCTTTATGTGAATGATTAATCAACCGTTTTTGCCGGTTTTGGAAATTTTTTTAATTTGATCCGTCTTCACGTCTATTGTGCGAATCCCAGCACTTCTAACACTCGATTCTTTTCCTGCCATCCATTTTCCACGAAGATCCCCAGCTTTTGCGTGTGGCTTCGGTTGCTGCTTGAGGATTTCCATTTCATCTTGAATATCGTAGAAGGCTGGCCGAGCAATTCTCCCTTGAGCTCTGAGATGATAGCCGGGCTGGAGCGTTCTCAATTGGATTGCAGAGAGTGATTTTTTCCGAGACAAGTCCGGTACCTATTTTCCGACTCCGGAGGGATGAGAGGCTTAGTTGACCGGGAGCGGAATCGAACTACACCATGCTCGTGATGACTTTTGGAAAAATAGTAAAAAGAAATAGAACTTTTAACCATGAGTTGCATAATTATTGATCAAATGTGAACTTGTAAAACATACGCAACTTAATTCTTTCTACTTCTGTTCAGCAAACATAAGGTGTTACTTTGTTTCTTTATTTACGTACAAGCTGACGTTTCGGCGGATTTCGCCTTCCTCAGAGCATGGAAAGGTCAAATCGACAGCAATGTATACCTCCATAACCAGACAGAGGAAACACTAAACTAAGATTTCAATAACATTGAACATAGCTCTGCACACTCACCGCTTTCTATCAGTCCTCCACTGAGTATGTCGCGTGAAGACCAACCGCACAGAAATCACATGGAAGTATAATGTGCCCCTCCCATCAAAATAAGAGGCTTATATACTGTCCAATATCCGCGTGATAATGAGGCATTCTTCCCTGCGGTTCATTTTCGGATTCTTGGAATTAATCCAGAACGCCTCGAGAATTTTGCGCGCTTGTGTTCTTGTTTTCTGTGCGAGGACATACGCAGCTTATGTTCTGAAAAGTTGCTCGTAACATTACCAGAAATTAATAAGTGTTTAGGCACATTGTGGAATAGTTTAGATATTTTGCCGGCCGTGAGACTGAAAGATACAGTATGCGTCTACAAAAGAGGAAAATTTTAGACGATTTTTATCATTAATAGCTCAACACAGAAGAGTAACTGGTCACAAAACCATGGGGCAGACTGACTAGGTTAGTACATCTCTAGAGGAAGAGGTATTTAATGTACGATACATTTGATAAGATTAATGCAATTATCTAGATATTTCTGCCTTTAGCAAAACAATATTTTCTTATAATAAAATGCTTTTTGACTGATTTCTCCGAATTTATTTAGCTGTAGAAGCGATCTTAAGTCGAATAATAGTGCTACTTTCATGAAGTCGAGGATTTTCACTCCACTATGACGTCGTCGTCTTTCGTTTTCTGGAAAAGTATGAGTTTCACCCCCATCATGTGGTAATACAAAAGTGCCAAATTTTGGAGTGAGACTCAGAAACTCTATATCTTTATCATCATTCAAGAACATTGAGCAGGTACTTGGCAAACCTGGTGGGAATCGACAACAGACAACGACTCAGTTTCTACAGCAACAGGACCAGTAGTAGGTACGGTAACAGTAGCACCTTCGGTAGCATCAGGAGCAGAAGCAGTGATAGTAACACCTGCAGAAACATCTGCAGCTTGTTCGTTAGCAGTAGCAACTTTAGCTCGTTCAGCTTCTAGAGCCTCCAGTGTGGCCAACTCACTGCGTAACGCAGCAATGTGCTAAACAAGAAAATCGATAATGTCCATGACCACCTATCGATTCGTTGTCTAGGGCTACATAGGATGGACAGGAATTGAATAAGTTCTATGTATGGAAACTTAGCTTATTTCAAAATTGGAGTTTCCTCTTCAGTACCTATTTTACATGGAGGAAAGGTTACAAATTGAAAAATTTCCGTACTTCCTTCAGTAAGACCGCATCTCTTTGTCGCCTACATTCCATTTTACACCTTTCGTAATTGGTCATCATCTGAAAATTTTTGTGATCTCGGCTAGAAACACTTTATATTCTCAAACAAAGGAAGAACTAGATAACTCACGCTACATTTTATCTAATAAATAAAGAAATAAAAAAGTCAATGAACATAAAACGCGTTAGCCCTCGGAAAGGGTAACAACGCGTTCGTTCCCCACCGCAGACATCTGCGGTTTGGAGCTTTGGAAATATCTCAGCATCATCTTGGTTGTATTTCACATGATAGCCTGCCGTGAAAAACCTTGGAACGCAGTAAGTAAAAAGGTTAAGATTGTGATTTTAATAAACATAATTTTAAACGAAACCTCAATGTGGCGATGCGGAAGAATACACGTAACTTTACAATGAATCGATAATAAAATAAAGACCAATACCTAGACAGACCTTTAAAGGTTTCGTATGTGGAGGCTCATCAGCTGGAAGATCCTTTGCCATATGGATGTAGATGCTTTCTCTTCGAGGTTTTCTGAAGAACTGTCGCAATAAAAATTTAAGAAAAAGAAAGTGCTGTGAAAATTTTAAGAATTCTAAGGCTTAGAGGTCGTACTTTATTTTCTTCATTGCCGAGATCGATGGAAACGCCATCATGACGATTACAATGGCTAGGTAGATGACTTCTCTGTGAACCATTGGGCAAAGTCTCTGGAATTTTTCGAAAAGGTTTTGAAGTAGATGAACATATACGTGGTCATGCAATTGATTTACGCGGGAAAACAGTATTTTTAAAAACGAACATCATTTCAACGGTTTTTTGGAATTTGGTTTATTTTCACGGCGCACTGTAGCGATAACCGTTATGCATCGTCATTGATGAGGAAACAATGAAATAACTTGCGAATAGGTTTAATATGCATTTATATTTGCTTTTTACCCAACCCTTCCGTCTATCGACCGCCATTCCACAGGTGTCTATTCATGTCTATTAACATAATTAAGCGTTCTATCTAGATCAATAGGACTTGGCAGAAAAATAGAAATTCCGAAAAACCACTACGGGCTTACCTTTCAAATGCACTTTTTTTGGTACAATTACCAGCTGTTGAACTCAATACCACTGAATATTCAGTGGTTTTGAGGTTCTGAGGTTGGAGCAAACTTATTGGCCAAAAGTACTAACATCGGGAGAACACGCAATGATAGAGTGTTCGGCGTTAATCTTAATCTCTTAGGAATGTCCTATGCATTCGTTTCCATTCATAACATCATAGAGATCAAGGATGCAAATATGACCTTTAGAATAGCTTGCGAGGAAACCGATGTATCAAATTAGTTGCTTAATTCTCTGACACAAGTCTGGTACAACTTTCTACAGAATTTAAAAAATGATTGGTGAGTCCGATTCGCTGAATGGAACCAAGGATGCAGCGGAATGAAAACGCTCGCCGCAATCCAGTAGTTTCATTAACAATAGAGATACTGTAGTCTGCGACCTCCTAAAAGCTCATTCTCCCATTTAACGAACCACAGCCATTCAGCGAGTTCTGTGGGGAACAAGTAATGGACCACAGTGTAGGCATGAAGCCCAGTATTTTCGTTGTTCACGGAAAGAGGACAGCCAGAGTTAGAATTCAGGTTTGTGTTATTTGTAAAGGTTTGTGTTATTTGTAAAAGTTTACTCTTAGTCGACCCTTTGTACAAAATTTTGAAACCCTTCACCTGCTCGGTGTACTAAACGATGGTTGAAATTCACGCAATCCAACGCAGGTTGAAATTCATGCATATTTGTGAGTAATATTATCTCTATGAATGACTTTTTTTCTTATCTCAAATGGATTAGAGCAAGGAGTGAAAATAACTAGACTTCAAATGACAAATAATGGAAGAAAAAAAAGGATTGTAAGAGTTTGATAGTATGCCGATCAGTCTTGTACAGACGTGTGCCGGAGATTGTCTGATATCGAAGGAAATCGATGCAATCAATATGAACTAATAGGCTACCTAAGACACACTGATGGAAATAAACCAGCGCTTTTCGGACAGGATAGCTATGTCGCGGAATTGAACAAAAATGAATCGTCCCTATTCTTAACCAATAACTACAGGCAAATCTTCGTTGGTCATACAGTGTATGCACTCTGTTATTTTATTTTCCAGGGCCGTCTTTATCTATTCGATTCATAGATTCATTCTATGGAATGAGTCACTTTGTTGTGTTCACTCTTAAGGATGATTTCGGTTTTGCAGGGAGAGCGATTGCGAAAAAAAAAGATTTTGCTTCGCCTTTATTCAAACTGTCGTGCTTCACCTAGGAAAAGACTTTACAATTTTATATTTATTTATGTAATCTTACAAACCAATCTTGTTGAACCAATGCGAGGTTGGTATAGGTCTTCGTTGTCGTTGCTGCTGGTGTTTACCTGCTCGATGGCTGACGTTTCGGCGACTTCGTCTTTCTCAGAGCTGTGCTGTTAAGACTGGGACGAAACTCATAGTGCTTTGCTTTCTTTTACTTTGGCGTTTCTGTTTTTTTAGGTCACATGAATAAAAATGGGAGAAAAGGAGGCAAGTTTCAGCAGCTCGTACGAACACTCGGATTCACGGAAATCTCTCATATATCGACGTTATATCTACATATACAAAAAATTGCCAGGGTTACGGTACAGCGAAATTAACAAAATTTGTGACGGAGGTGAGAATTTCTTGGTTAAGCAGTGGGCAACCAACTGGTACTCCTTGATGATGGCTATTGGAAGACTTTAATAGTTGCAGTTGATCGGAGAACGGTTCCTGAACCCATAGAAAACTTGGTAAAAAAAACATTTTTGAGATATGAACTTTTCGAACTGTTCAGTTCACACGAGGTTTCTATATACGTTTTATTCGTCAATATACCTGGTGAGACCGCCTCATTCGAGTAGCGCTCCACTGAAGGAGATTTCGATTGGATGCTACGACAAAGACACCACGTCGCAAAGCGAGCAACTATGGACCATGGACTTGGATCGTCAGCTCTAATGAAGACGAAGACGTCTATGCATTAGCCGTCTATGCATAAACATCTTTATCAACCTCATGTTAGCTGAATAATCCAAGAAGGTACTGATTACTACCGAGTTTAAATGATTTCAATGACGGTCGGCAGAGAAGTCTGAGCTAATATATTGATCATTCACTCCACGATTAGATGAAGGTCGAGTTGGTAAAGCAGGACTTAAAAACGGAACAGCTTCTCGACTGCATTCTAGTCGCTACGATAAGGAAAAGATAATTTTTTTTCTGTGGCATTCGTCGCACATTCGACTTTACTCCGAGCATTATAGAAGTGACTGAATGCACATCTGGCCTGCACAGCGTCTTGCGGTGACCTAGTGATCACATTTTCAAGAACTCTGATTGAAATTTGATGAAATGTGCAAAAGAAAAAGAAAAAAAAGAAAATACAGAACTTTTGCACTGCATTTGAACTTTATTTTAAAGAATTTCAAAGCACATATAAATCTACTCACAGAATTTATTTTTTTCACCAACTAATTGATAGAAGATAAGTGTTCACAGTGTTGATAAACAAGCGGGTCACGTTATACAACCAAGCATTCGTGTCATTTAGTAAATTCATTGATGATGATTTTTTGTGCCAGAAAATGGCTGGTAGAGGAAAGATGGAAGATTATACATGGAATGACTTAAAGAGATACGAAATGTAATTTATGAGAAACGAAATTTCCACTGTCATCAGAATCAGTAGAGTATGAAATCTGTTGGAGTGTTCACATTCCAAATTTTCACCCTTCACTTAATACCTATTCCTTCTTCATAACACGGGTACGACGTAAAAGACAGTCATAAGGATGATGAAATATGAGCAAAACTCGTAGCCTTAGTTGGGGCTCGAACACGTGATTACCTCTCTTTGGGTCCCCAGGTGCTATCCGCCACACCACCCGAATCCGTTCTTTTGCTTCCCACATCATTCCCTTTGACGGGTGATTGTTTATAGCATTGACAAGAAAAGCACAGCTGAGAGAAGGAGAAACCATGGACCTCAGTAGGTGTGGTGGATAACACGGGAGCACCCGGTAAGTTTAATTGCTGGCTTCAAGCCCACCTGAGTTTTCAATTTGTCCTCAGCTCTCAACATCCTTATGGCTATGTTTTAGTTTTAGTTAATATGTGTGAAACACTATATTAATATTCTTCATCTGCTGGATCAAAAGAGTCGACACCAACTTCCTCATAATCTTTCTCAAGTGCCGCGATGTCTTCACGTGCCTCGGAAAACTCACCTTCTTCCATACCTTCGCCGACATACCTAAGTTTCAAAAACTGTTTTTCCATATTTAGGCTCTACCTAGGTCTTTTCTAACTTTTTTATAAAACTTACTGCATGTACATGATTTTTCATTCATTTACTTGTTTTTAGGAGGCGGGTGACGCAGTGGTAGTGATACTAACCATCGCCGGCACAGTGGCCAACCTACTCCCCCCGAACCTTCCAAGCCTCTCACCCTATTGTGGCTGCGGAATTGCTACTAGACATATCTGTGGAAGATTCACTATCAGAAATTCAAATAAAGCGCTCTGGCTCGGATACTTCGTCTCACGACTCCACGGGAATTCTACTCGAGCAGTATTCAAAGACACTAGTGATAAAAGGATAATTTCCAAGCGTGAGTGGACCTCAAACATGAAATTCAGAGGGATTAGGAATGCCTTGCTGGCCTAGCAATGTCTCAAGTCAACAGGTTTGTCCTCACAGACAATTATGGTGGCAGTTTTCAAACCCCATATGAGAAACGTCGACTGACCGGCCTGTGGCACGGTACCAAGCCTACGGTAAAGTATCTATTGCGAGGCGCCTCTAACCACTTCGCCTGCATGCTACTTAAGTGAGTAAATAAAGAATAGATTCATTTATTACCAATGCACAAAAGCTCGCTTAGCGTACATCAAGTCGAATTTATGATCAAGACGAGCCCATGCTTCCTGAAAAAATCAGATTAAGTGATTCCTGTCTTAATAAGACGTCATTTGTAATTTCTAATGCTGATAAACTATTTCAGTAGATTGTTAACCGTTACAGTAGTTTACGAATCGATTGTTATTTTTGATAACGCGCTCTCTTTTAATCATACTTATTTAAAAATTTAGAAATCTATTTAAAATTATGTTTTCAAAATAACAAATAAAAATGACCTGAATTGCTGTGGTGTTAGACAGCATGCAGACAGCACGCTGAAGTTTGGCCAAATCGCCATTTGGTACCACTGTTGGTGGCTGGTAGTTGATGCCGACTTTGAAACCAGTTGGGCACCTGAAATATCGAAAAAAGCTTATTAGTCGATATGTTCTTTAAACAGTCAGTCAGTAAGGTTAGTAATAATGAATTGAATTATCGCTCATTCTTACCAATCAACAAATTGGATGGCTCGCTTCGTTTTGATCACGGCAATCGCAGAATTTATATCCTATAATAGACACACGTTACTTAAAAAATAACTCTGAGAATATTTCGAAGACCGACTTCCCTTTAACCTCGGTATGACTAATCGACATGTATTCCTCCACTGCTTAGCTAACCCTGGGTTGACAAATGAACTTTATTCGGCTGACGTTTTCACTTATTCGTTTTCCCCAGAGCCGCCGATTCGAGTGGATGCTCTACATTCCTTCGTCTTCTCTATGTAGTGTGTTCGTCGTCGTATCGAGTCGGATCATCCCCATGTGCTTTTGTTATTGTTACACTCTGCTAGCTGACAACGACACCGATTTCTGCAGAATCCAGAAAAAACAAGTTATTATCATCGAACATCTATCAACAACAGCCTTCTTTTATAACAAAGAGCCGCCGCATGAGGTTTTCTCATTCGAGTGGTGCTCCAGTGAGGATGATTTTACTGGATGCTACGAAGAAGAAAACATATCGAGAAGACGAACAGACGTTTATCATCGACTCGGATCATGGGCTCTAATGTAGACGAAGACATCAAGAAGTTAGAAGAATAAAGTTTATTTATCATCCTCGTGTTAACTTATCAGTGAAAAAACTAAGAATATTTATTCTTTCTTTGATGAGCTTACACGAAGTTGACAATGATGTTTATTTCGTGTGTAAGCTCGTGTAAGCTCATCAAAGAAAGAATACATATTGATTAGTGATACCGAGGTTCAAGGAAAGTCGGTTTCGAAATATTACTACGCTTTGTTCGTATTTTTTTTGAGCAAACGCGAGGTGTTCAACTCCACCTCGCGTTTGCTCAAAAAAAAATACGAACAAAATCACTTGATCAATGCCGAGGTTAATAGAAAGTCGGTCGTGGCAGTTACTACGCTTTGTGCTAGCTGATAATAACACCGACTTTGTGCACGATGCGCGCGATGATTATGTCCGGAAGAAAAACAAGTTGTTATCACCGGACATTATCATTATATCGACCATCAGAATCTTGTATAAAAGGGCATCACTGAGTAAGGATGCCTCATTCGAGGAGATGGCTCACTGAAGAAGACCTGACTCGACACGAAGGCGAAGCTGCTACGTCGAGACGAATAACAAGCTGATCGACTCGGATCATTGGCTCTGAGGAAGACGAAGACGTCGAAACGTTAGCCGAAAATAAAAATTATTATGTTTAACGTTTTGTTTTCTGCCTTCTATAATTTTGCCTATGTAAAATATTATAGAAGGCAGAAAACAAAACGTTAAACAATGTGATTTCAACTACAGCCTTAGCTTAACTGGGTTCTATGCCGATTTGCGCTCCCCAGATCAACCCCGCTGACGGGTGATTGCTGTGGCAAAAAAATCGATAGAAATAGCTGAGAGACAGGCGAAACGAAGAACCCGCATGGTGTGGTGGTGAACGCTTTACTCCCCGGAAAGGATAATAGCGCGTTCGTTCCCCACCATAGACACCTGCGGTCCAGAGTTTTGCAAATATCTCAGCAACGTTGTGGTTGTATAAACATCATTGTCAACCTCGTGTAAGCTCACCAAAGAAAGAATACATATTGATTAGTGACACCGAGATTCAAGGAAAGTCGGTTTCGAAATATTTCTAAGAATATTTTTTATTACATCTACATTTGCAAATATTAGTTATAAAGAGTGAAGTTAAAAGGGCAAGTTATTCTCGCCACAATTAAGCGCGTCGTGAAAATCGCTTGGTGGAAGACTTTACAAACACTTTAACCAAAGTTCTTTGCTCTACAGCTCAAGCTGCCAAAGGTTTCCTTGTATATTTGGCTTGAAAAGCTTACTTTTACGTAACCAACTCCAACATAATCTTTTAGAAGATAGTCGTCACAGCAACATTTCACATCTGATCTCAAGACGCTTCAAAAGGTCACCTAGACTGAGATAAAACAAAGCCGTATGTTCTAGTTTGTTTCAGCACATTTTATGGACAAAAGGACAATGAACTATGACGGTGGTAGAATATGAAGTAGCGTCTCAAAAATTTCAAAGCATTACAGCAATCATGGTTTGCTAGTGGAAGTTCGTTACGTATGAATGTACTGCAATTGAAAGGCCCATGAAGCGCAGTTGATTAGTGTTTCCGTGCTACCGAACTACATCCTTTGATTTGCGTCCACCTCAGCCCCACCAAGCTTTTTATCATTCCGAGGTCTAGAATTTAGTACTGGGCAAGTTTGTGAGAAACTCCGCTCGGTCCATGACGGCTGGTGACCGTTTGTAGAGAAGTGGTGACAACGCTCTATTAGAGCTGTCTCAGATTTCTAGAATGGATTAACTACAGCATCGGACGGTACTCGTTTAAGAGATGAAATCACCAAAAAACATCTGAATAAAAATGCATATTTGAAGGCCGTTTTGAATGAAGAATGGAAGACAACGATTCGAATTAAAACACTGCCAAGTTCCACATAATACGCGTTGACGGGATAGAAAACCAGTACGAGGGTGTTTTTCTTGATCCGCCAATGTCTAAAGAACTAACCTTTGGCACGATATCACCACGGAATAGCAAACAGCATGCCATGTACTTTCCATTGCGAGGATCACATTTAACCATCTGACAGCCAGGTTCAAAACACGCGTTAGTGATTTCGGATACGGTAAGCTGTTCATGATAAGCTTTTTCCCTAGAAGTAAGGTTATTAAGCAATTGACATTAAAAAAACATAAAATCGACGAAGTTTAGATAATATTCGAGTCTAATACCATGCAAGCAGTAAGGAGTAAGAACGTACGCTGAAATGATAGGAGCGTACGTGACAAGAGGAAAGTGAATTCTTGGATAGGGGACAAGATTTGTCTGAAAATGGAAGTTCTTTGAACTAATTAATCTAGATTTCCTGCTTAAAAATAAACAGAAAAAAGGAATCGTAACCTGAAACTCGGTGAGGTCGACATTTAGTGCACCGTCGAAACGAAGCGATGCTGTAATAGATGAGACCACTTGAGCGATCAGACGATTCAGATTTGTATACGAAGGACTGTAATCAATTCCTTTCCATCTGTCAAATAAAAACCAAATGCTTGATATTCCTCTTTTTTCTTGTTGGATTCTCTACACCATAGCAAAAAATGTCGACACTGCTTGTGGACAGCCGTAAAATTATGGCGGCCTTCTTTAGCTTTCGATTGCTTTGAAAGCATTTTACTGAGGCTTTATGTTGCACATTTGATGTGCAGTTGTTAAGGTTCTTCAAAGGAGCTGGTAGGGGCATAAAGAAAGAAGTGTGATGAGTACTCTAGTAAGAGAAATCACCATCTTCATGTGGTTGTGCGATCTGGGGTGTTACACTGCTCACTACATGAAGACGATATTCATAGTAAAGGTGTGCGAGGTTTCTTCCAAAGTCGATCGGAGAAGCGGTAGAGTATTTTTAAGAAAGAAACGTTGATGGTTTGACATAAAATGACAACAGAAGACAGGAAAAGAACAAGAAACACATTAGAGCAGTTAGGGAGAGGAATGAAACGCTAAAAAGATATATTAATGTTTTCTTTATAGGTATAAGACAACTGTATTAATATCTATAAGGCGATGCATGGGGCGGTGTATAGAGTCTCTCTGGAATGCTCATGTGGTAGTTACTTCGATCCGGCTTCTAGAGTTCATTAGGCCATCTGTCCCTTTGGGTTCGGTAAATCAGTACCAGACTCGTTTGCGGCGGTAGCAGCACTGGCTTGATGCATCTGCATGTCACCGTCATCGTGATAGCCAGATAAAGCATTCATTCATCACTCACAGCTGGAATCAATTTGGGATTGCTCAGGTTTGATTCACAGGACGTGACAAGGAGTAACTTTCCTAGCTAAGTGGAAAGTAAGTTGGCTATACTTCCAAGTTTCAATTTGTATAAAAGGTCGTTCAAACTTGCCTTTGCTCTATTTTTTCTCACCGTCCAAATAAACGTAAACTGAAAGCCTTCAAAGTTTGAAAAGTTAAAAGGGTAAAAAATTCTAGAAAATCTAAGAAAATAGATTCAGAGATTCAGAGCCAACCTTCTTATATTCAAATTCGATCTGCATATATCATAAATGGCCTCGTTATCGAGCATAAATGAGCAATCAGAGTGTTCAAGAGTGGTATGTGTGGTCAGCAGAGAGTTGTACGGTTCAACCATCGCTGTAATGAATACTTAATTTTATAGAAGACGTCATGTAATTTTATTGCTTAACTTTTTCATACATCGGATTACCGTGGTTTATGAGAGGAATCTCAACCCGGAAGTGGTCAACACGAGATAATTTTAAAACATTTTCGAAGTATTGCGGGTTCGTTCTCTGAGCTGCCCTTAAAATAAAACAAGAAGAGAGCTTTCCTCGTTGATTGGCATTGTCTTTTAAAACATTGCTTTAAAAGTGGAAAAACACGAGATATTAGTTACTGATTTCTAAAACCCTCTGAGAAAGAGTTCGGCATTTCTATTAGGAAGTTGAGCTAAGGGTAAGCAATGTCAGGATACACCACGGTTCTGGTACCAAACTAGTCGCATGCTTATAAATTTTTCTCTGATCGACAAAAGAGGTGACTGCCTGCAGTGGTGACGACCTAGGGCAGATTTTAGCCTGGCTGACCTCGGGACTTCGTGGAACCTCAATGGCGAAACCTATAAAACTCCGAAAAAATGGAGGTTATTCTGAAGTCCGCAAAATCAGCGAGGACGGACCATCCAAGTATTTAAGTAAGATTTCTAAAACAGAGTTTTTTGAGTGCACGACAAAATTCAGTTGCTTAGGCTTTATTTGCAGAAAGGAAACACATATCCATTATAAATGTCATCTGGACTGCCATTGCTCAACAAGTCATCTGCATGAGGAGCACAAAAAAAATTTAATGAGTACAGCATTTCCTCCAGAGCTATTTAGTGGGATCCTCTCACTCAAAGTACACCAGGAAAATCATACTTTTAATGTGAGTTTATTCATTTCCGTTGTTTCACGCAAAAAAGTAGCCAACAATAGATTCCCGGTCAGCGCACAGTGATTACTCCTGACCATACGGACGTGCGAAACTTCTTACCAACATGGGTCATCGTCCTTGGCAATGAACACCATGCTGCATATCGTATTTTAATACCACGGAATACTCTACCAGTACTCCTGAGTATGTTACAGTTGGGGAAGAAAACCATTTAGGGCGACAGAGGGCATGCACTTAAGCAGAATAAGGTTCTCATTCGTTTTCTTCTTTGATAAAAATAATCATAAATGCCCTTAGTATAAAAATCTTTGAAAAAAACAGCAACACCCTAAAGATGTAAGATTTTTAACGATTCCGTCCAACTCATAGTGGTCCTTGATAATCATGGTGCTCTGTAGGTAAGAAGTATGCTTAAGGTGCTAAATAATGAAAAGTTCCATGAGCTCGTTGTTGACTCTGTAAGCACGGTAGGCAAAAAAAAATGGCTGAACAGGCCGACAAGTTAAATCGAACCAGATTGTGCTTGCTTATAGTATCGGTCACATAAAGACAGCAGATCATTTTAAAAAACCACAAAATAAACTTTCCACCGTAGCCAAGTAGGACTTTCCATCAATACTACAATAAAATTTGACCTGTACTGATTTGTGGAGCCGGATATATGCTGAACTCAAGCTTTGCCTTCTTTCCAAAGTCTACCGATAGACGTTCCATCATCAGTGCTGCGAATCCGCTGCCGGTTCCACCGCCGAATGAGTGGAAGATAAGAAAGCCTTGAAGAGACGAGCATCGCTCGGTGAGACCTGTCATAAAGTTTCATCTCTGTCGCTGCCGAATTCTTTGGCTAAAAAATTTTACTAGAAAAGTTATATAGTATACGATTAAAAAGTGGTGGTTTTCAAATAAGGACAAATGAATGAATAACTAATTTCTGCTTCGTACTGACCCGACGGAGGTTTTCTTGTTTTCTTGCCAATGGACTTGCTTCCACTCAACACTATCAGCAAAAGGTGACTTCGATTTCACTCACGTCTGATTCGATCCATACAAACATCAATCAATTCCTTGCCGATTGTATAGTGTCCACGTGCGTAGTTATTCGCGGCGTCCTCTTTTCCGGTGATGAGTTGCTCAGGATGAAAAAGCTTAGCATAGACTCCCGTACGAACCTCATCGACGACTGTTGGCTCCAAGTCAACAAAAACAGCTCGCGGAACGTGTTTGCCTGAAGGGAAACCGTAACTAGGTACTCTGGCAAGAAGACACCATCATCGTCACATACATTTCAGTAGCCTTATTTCGAGTTTTTTTCTTCACACGTCTCTATTTATTGTTCCCATAAAAGGGAGCACAGATAAAGAGGATAAGTTGGGAAAAAGAAAGGCGAAGCAAAGGTCTCGGTTGGTATGGTGAATACCACGTGAGTCTCGGCAAAGGCATTCCGGGTTTGAGAACCACATAACATCCCGAGGTTTGCTCAAGCCTCAGATCCTTGCGGTTGTATTATATAACGTACCCTGCCGTGAAAAAAAAGAAAAAAAAGTGTGTGTGTGTGGGTGTGTAGGCGTGGGTGTGGGTGTGTGTGTGTCTATGTGGTTTGTCAAAAGTCATTCTTTGTGTTTTAAAAACAGTTAGGCACTCCGTAAATCCGGCATCAGCCTGTGATGGCATTAATGGAAGTGCCATCTTAGCGTTAAGCGGAAAAAATGTTCCGTATTGATAAATCCGTGAGGCATTCATCATGCATTTGATTATTTGTAGCATCGTAAAAATGCATATTTGTGCTATACTGAGAGCGAATCCAGCGTTATATGAAGTGAGTGTTGCTATCCTCGCTGAATACTATGATAAGAACTAGGCGATCTTGAAAGAATCAGAATCATCGCCAACCCGAGGCTCAGTCGGAATCGAAGAGTTCGCGTCAACCTTCAGTACGTTCTAATACAAAGACATATTTGGATGGTCTCTGAATAAAAGAACCGATAAACGATTTGGACTCTCTTGCCTTACTTCGTTAAAACAAGCATCCAATAGTCACTACAGTAGTGTGCCTACTAAACTTCTATTCAAAAAGATTCGTAACTACTTCTTACAACGACATAGAGTTCCCTTGTGGGCTGATTACCAGAGAACACGAACTCATGACGATTTCCCAATTCGAGGGATCACAAGTTAATTAGTCCCGATCATAGCGAAGCTGTATATTCCTGGATGGATCCCTCTGTAATCTGCTGTGATGGTATCATGGCAACGCCGTAATGAAATTCTTGTTTATGAGGCACAGCAGGTGGGACAATTATTCTACATTGTATGGAGAAATCCATGAAGAAATGGTGTACATATAGATTTCCACGGTACTGTTGAGATAAAAAAATTCAGGCTTAATTTCAAAATTTCATTTCTTTTTTTGCGTTAGAAATGAACTGAGTCAAAAGCGACCCTTCCTGGAACCTTCAATACTATAACGAAATAAAATCACTTTGAAGGTTCTCTGAAGGAATCACTCTGAAAATACTTTGAAAGCTTTACTTTCCAAAATTAGAGTTTTATTGCCAGTGATCACGAATAGCTTACGATGATGAAAGCATGTTTAACTTTTAGGGAAAAAGCAGAAAAAAGTCTATACCGATCATTCCCTTAGGGATGATTCATATATCGACTTCATTAGATATCGTTGGTGGCGTGTAGCATAGCAGTAGTGATGTCGAACATCTCAGGCGCGCTGCTGGTACGGTCCTGCCTCGGGCTTATCTTTCAACCCTCCTCGGCTGGCAAATTAGTACATGACTTGTCTGGGAAAATTGGCTCTCTGTAACCTACGTGGGAACGTTCTAGCCTAGCTATATCAGGATTCCAGGGAGAATCGACTGGACCAGTATTCAGCGATTTTCATGATTAAAGGAGCAGCAACTGTGGCCACACATAGAACCTTAAAAGTGAATGATGAATGGAAATGAATTTTTTGCGAGAATCACAAGGATGCGCAAAGTAAGTGTGAAATACGGGTCGTGCAAAACAAAAAATGAAGAAAACATTTCAAAGATGATTGAATTCATCTACGGACTTGACTTTCGGGACCCATGGTTGCATCAGCTCCGTATTTTTTACGCTCCCAGACAAGCTTGGTAGCGACTTGCCGTTCCCGGATAGATGACTCCATACGGGATCGAAACAACGAGCATGCGTGCATTGCAAAATTTCCCAGCCACTGTGTTACCCGCTCTCCACTAATCGTATAAATTTTTTAAATCAGTAATACATAGCAGTCTTATATTAGTATTTTTGTCTACTTTTTATTGAGAATGTAAATAAACTTGTGGTTTCTGGTAAACGTGGTAAAAAAAAAGCTCTATCATCTTATTGATGCTGAAACACCTGCAAAAATTCGACTCCAGGCCAGATCAAGCCACGATTACCTTTTTCAGGTGCTCGCGTGTTACGCGCGACACCACTGATACCCTTGTTCTGTTTTTCTCTCAGCCAGTCGCTTTACTCTAAAGGTGTCATCAGCAATCATCTGTCAACAGAAATGATATGCAGAGCACAAAACTGCATTAAAGCCGGTTAAGCTGAGGCTGTAGTCGAAATCACAATATATAACTTTTATTTACTACGCATGATCATTCCCGCTGAAGAATGAATGCTAATGGCACCGTTAGAGTAAAAGGCCTGGCTGAGAGAAAAGCAGAGCGAGGGCCTCAGTGGTGTCGTGGGTAAAACGTGTGTCTTCGGAAGGGTAAATGCGGTTCGATCTGACCTAGCACCCACGTTTTCCAAATATCTCAGCAACATTATGGTTGTGTCTCACATGATATCCTGCCCGGAAAATTTACTAGGCAATCGATAAAAGTTGAACATATATCAATGAACATATTATTAGTGATTTTCTTCGTATTTTTGTTGAGCAAACGCGAGGTGTTACTATTCTTTGTTCACGATTAAGCTGACGTTTCGGCGAATTTCGCCTTCTTCAGAGCCTGGAAAGGTCAAGTTGATAACAACTCACTCGGCCAGACGCCTCCATAACCAAACAAAGAAACTCCAAACCAAGATTTCAATCACTTTGAACACAGCTTTGCACACTCACCGCTTTCTATGAGGTTTCCACTAAGTATGTCACGTAGAGACCAACCGCACAGAAATCATGTGGAAGTATAATGTGCCCCTCACATCAGAAAAGCAGTTTTATATACTGCCCTATATCACGCGTGATAATGAGGCATTCTTCCCTGCGGTTCATTTTCGGATTTCTGGAATTAATCCAGAGTGCCTCGAGAGTTTTTCGCGCCTGTGTTCTTGATTCGCGTGCGAGGATCGTGACACATACTTCAAAGTCGTCCCCGTTATGTCTCTGGGTCCTATGCGTGCCTAGCGGGGTATTTGGTCTATTTTTGCCGGCTAGGTGTTCTTTCATGCGGATTTTTTGGGGTCTACCCGTTTCGCCAATGTATTCGTCACCACACGTCTTACAGGAGATCAGATAAACTATACCCGAGCTCA